CGGTGGTGGCCGCGGCTGGCCGCGTGGAGAGCGGCCTCCCCCAGCTGCTGCCCTCCACCCCACTGGCGGGGGGGTCTGCGTGGAGAGCAAAAGATATGGCGGAGGGCCAGCCTCGGAAGAGCCCCCTCCTCTTGCGCGTGGGAGAGAAGCCCCCTCCCCGCAAGGGCACGGGAGAGGAGAGGCGAAGGGCGGGCAAAAGGAGGAAGCCCCCCCGCGCCGCATCGCAGGGCTGGCCGGCCAGCCGGCCTCCCCACACGCTCCGCGCCTGCTCCTTCTTTCGTCTGATGCTGAAAACGGCGTGGGACCGTTGCAGCCGGCCAGCGGAGTTGTTTCTGCCGTACCGCGTGGTGTAAACCCAGCCCCGGGACTGACTCAACGACCTCTGAGCGCGTCCAGAGCATAACACGGCGCAAGGTGCCTTCTCTGCAGTTGCGCCTTGCGCTCGACCGCTCTCCCTCCGAGATGCTTGGCGCGGACGGGGAGCCCAGGACTCTGGCGGGGCGCTCTGCAGATGTGCCAGATGTGGCCCCAGCAGCCCAGCCCTGGCTCCTTGGAAAGAGGGGTCTTTCCTCTTTTTTAAAAAAAAAAAAGCAGAGCTGAGACCCCGGCTGCTTTCTCCCAGAACATCTCTTGGGGCCAAAACCGAGTCCAACCCTTCCTGGTTAAAGCCAGAGATGACTTGTTTTGGTCTGTGTGGCTGGCAAGGCAGGAAACGGTGTAGATTTTAAATTTTGTGCACAAATGTGGTCCTCCAGACAGTTAAAGCAAGGGAGCGCCCCTTTGCAAACTGGCTGTGGTTTTTTTTGTGCGTTCTACACTGTTTTCCTCCTTCCTCTAGAGCAGCGTTTCTCAGCCTTGGCAACTCTGAAGTGTGCGGGCTTCAACTCCACAGTGCTGGCCGGGGAATTCTGGGAGTTGAGGTCCACACACTTTAAAGCGGCCAAGGTTGAGAAACACTGCTCTAGAGGAATGTGAGCAAACTGCCCAGCACCCTTTTCATTCTGTGCTGGCGCTCCCACTTTCAGGGGTGATGGCGGTGCCCCATTGCTAGGGCCGCACTCATGAAGAAGCGGGCCTTGGGGAGAAAGTTGAGCACCAGTTAAATCATTGGGCCTCTGCCCCTCAGATCCTATACACTCCATTTTTACCAGCAAAAGGGGAATGGGTGGTACTACTTGAATACACAATGAAAGTCAATGTTCTTGATTGCATTTCAGGGTCATCTAATCCCTGTCCTTCCATTTGCTACTCAGAAAAAAAATGAAGTGCCCAGATTTGCCGTTTCCTGGTAGGCTAAGATACCTCCTTTCCCCAAATTGGTCTCCTCCAGATGTTCTGGCCCATCAGTATCCACAATCTTTAGCTGGCATACCTTGCACACCAACTTCATTTTTAATCCGGGATTGCATTCATGCCCATTTCAGAGGCAGTATAATGTTTAATCTGCAGTTCTATACCTTTTTGGAGAAAATAGGATCCCCACGTTTTGTCTGCTTTGGGAATCCCAGCACTTTGAAATTGTACACTTCCATTAACATGCACGTTTCTAAATCTTGTGAATTTGGTTGCTTGCAAAATACTTGTTAGGGCAGCTTTATATGTTCAGGGAAACAGGCGTAGCTGAGAGGGGACGTAGAGGCTGCAAGAAAATTGCTGATCCTTCTCTGCAGGGCTGTGCAGTTGATAAGTGATTAAGTCTTTGCACTTTGGATCTTGCGTGTAAAAATAATTGGGCTTGAAAGTTGATTTCAGTAATTTCGGATTTTTCTGGATAACCCAGTATCCCTTACAGGCAGGCACTCTCCCCTTGAGAATATTAGCTCTTGACACCTCGGAGACTCAAGTTTCTAGCCCTCTTGATGGAATAAAATTTGGCAGAACAGAAAGTCTGCAGGCCACAGCCGCCTTTTAACAGAAGTCCATGTTGTTGGAAACCTGCAAAGCCATAGAAAATGTGTGTAAAATTGGTAGAATGTTTATGTCACCTGATCTATTCCGAAGAACTTGGCCTGCGATAATCCTGACCAGAGTCCTGCAAGGAGGGTTAGGGCTATTTGTGTTTATTATTTTAAGATGTTTTGGTGCTGCTTCTTGTTCTGTTTAGGAGCTTAGCCTGGTGGCCATCAAATTAAGTAATGGTGCACAGTATAAGTCCGTAATAACAGAGCAGTAGAACACAACCAAGTAAGGTTGTGGAAGTGTGTTGTTCAGCCGGAGCACCAATGCGTCTGACAGCCCGTCCTGGCAAGTGGGAAGGGTTGGAGGGTGGCTGGGTTCAACCCAGCGGGCTGAAAGGTGGGTTGTTCGGTCAGCCTAGGAGAAGAGAATTAAAGGCTCCCCGAATTCAGCCTGAGGCTTAGCGCTTACTTGATCTACGTAGGGTAGAAGGAGGGCCTCCTCTCGTTCATTTGTGCTAGCAAACTCACTAAGGTGTCTGCCCTTTAATAGCATTTGTGAGTCAGAAGAGGTGCTACCAGACACCACCTGATTTTTTTGACCTAGGTGTGTATTTGATTTGCTATGATTTTGCAGGTACATTTCATTGTTTTCGTGCCACCGGTCTCTCTTCTTGTTGCCCCCAAACGAAGGGTGGACCAAAATGTCAGTGATTATTGTCTGGGAATTAAATCCACTTGGTTTCTGTTCGTGGCCCCCTCCATCGGTCTTTGCAATGTTGCCAGCTCCATGGAGTCCCATTCAGGCCTGCTTGGACACGTGGTATAGCCCTCTCGCCTCGCTCGCCCTCCGACCGACTCAAGGGCTCCTGAGCCGGGGCCATTCCACCCAGCAGGGTCTCGTTCCCCGGCCGCCATGAGCTTTGCCTGCCTCGGCCTCCCCAGAGAGGAGAACATGCAGGCTCAGGAGCAACGGAAGAATGCGGTCGCTGGCACGGCCGGTTCGGCTGCATTGCTGCTCTGCTGCCAGATGCATTAGATCACGCCGGGCTTGTGCCACACAGCTGCTCGAAGCAGCACCGGGCTCGGGCGCTTTCAGGGAGGGCGGCCTGCGTGGAGCCAGACCCAGAGGCCCTCCAGGTCAGGCAGCTTGAAAAGCCGGTTGCAGGTGGGGTGTGGGTGTGCGTGTGCAAGCAAGCCTTCTCCAGCTCTTCTTGGGACCCAGGGGTTTAAACTGGTGCATTGCAGTTGAGTTCCAAAAGAAGCAAGGTTCCAGTCCTCATGGTTCTGAACACAGATGAATTGGGGGGCTTGCCCAGGGCAGCCCCCGAAGCCGTGCCTCCCTGACTCTTGTCTTCCTCCCCAGAGGGGCTGGGGCAGGGGCCTCTTGCCGCCTCTTCTTTCTTCCGGGG